CTCCTCCTCTGCCTCAGGGGCGCTTCATCGTCATCGTCAGGAAGATTGATGACAACGCTAGGTGGAGCTGCAGAAGAAGTTCAAAGTCAAAAATAAAGATTCAATCGACCAAAAGCAAAACCGCGCGGATCATACCAGGCTGAGAAGTCGCAGCATCTTCCATTTCTTGATCCTCATGCCTGGCTGAAGTCTCAGAAGTAGCAGCACTGCGATTTGCAAATATCAGTCGGTTAGTGATTGAATCGACCAAAAATGAAAAACGTGAGTTATGACCGTTACCCAGAGACAGTCGGGATCTCCATCCTCATCTTCGGTAGAGCTTTCACCGGTTTTGACGGGGCCGCTTGGGGTTGCTTCGACGCCTTTTCAGTCGGCACCGGCGAAGTTGTCCGAGGGCGTTTGGTCGACTGCCCAGCTGGCGCGACTCCCTTGCCACGATCAGCCGCAGGATCGTGGACGAGCTTGGACCTTCTTTCGGAACGAGGAGGCGCAACTTCCTCCTCCTCTTCTTCTTCGTCGGAACCTACGTCTTCCTCACCCTCGTCGGTGTCCGACTCCCACTCTTCATGACTTTTGCCTCCGCTTCCCTCCTCCTCTTCGGCCTGCGCCTGCGCCCCGTTGGGCATCGAGTACAACTCAGTGGTTTCCTGAAAGACAGCAAGCAAGACAAAGGTCAATCGACCGATTTACGACAAAACAAAATGGACGGAGCAATCGGGAAAAAATAGTCATACCTTGTCCACCTCATAAGACTGGTCGTGTGGAACGATCCTCCTAGCTCCCCGAGGGTTGTCCTTGTTCCCCGTGATGGCAGTCATCCACCTCTCCAATGTAGCATTGTCGACCTCCTCTGGGTGGACCCAACTGGTGTCTTTAGTACCAGAATACAGCCACATCGGGTGGCCCCGGTACTGGAGTGGTTGGATGCGCCGCCGAAGGAAAACCTCCAGAAGGTCCATGCCGGTCACACCATCACGAATCAACTGAACTACTCGCTCCATCAACATTTTCACTTGAGCCTTCTCCTCCGGAACTACTTTCAGAGAGGAGGGCTTGTTCACTCGACTCATGGAGAAGGGAGGGAGCCCGGTCGACTGCCTTGGCGTCGACCGGTCTTGGCAGTAGAACCAGGTCGACTGCCACCCTGTGACCGACTCGGGAAGGGTCATAGCACGAAAAGCGCTCTTGCTCCTCATCTGGACCCCGAGACCCCCGCACATTTGGATCACCTGGGTTCTCTCGTCATTGGGGCTGGCCTTTTTCACCGTCTGGGAACGACAAGTGAATATATGTTTGAAGAGGCCCCAGTGCGGCCGGCAACCCAAGAAATTCTCACACAGAGATACAAAGGCGGAGAGATAGGCGATGGAATTCGGAGTGAAATGGTGAAGCTGAGCTCCGAAGAAATTCAGAAATCCTCGGAAGAAAAGATGCGGCGGCAAAGAAAACCCTCGATCTAAATGAGTCGCCAAGAGGACGCACTCACCCTCCTGAGGTTGCGGTTGACACTCCGTCCTCGGGAGCCTCGCTGCTCCGTGCTCGATCAGCCCCTCATTGGCTAGGTCATCAAGGTCCTTCTGGGTGATGGTCGAGCGGATCCAATCTCCTTGGATCCAACCCTGCGGCAGGCGAGACCGCGACGAGGAGCCACCCCGACTGGGCGCTCTCCCCTTCGCTTGCGCCGTCGCCTTCTTCGCCCGCTCCAAAGCTGCCGTCTTCTCCTTCACCATTGCCGCCGACGAAGCCCGAACGGAGCAGCGGCGCTGGGCAGTTAGCGAGCGCAGCAGATGAATCTGGGGACGAGGGAGGAGAGAATGAGGAAGCACTGTTCGGAAAACCTCCGTCCGATTCCTTATATGGGGTCACTTCCGAGTGACTGACGGGTAGGCCCAGGCAATCCTGTCAAATCCCGAAACAGTCGCGCACGCGATACGTGGCGAAAAAGGCAGCACGGAGATCAAGGCGTCCCTGCCTTATCCCGTCCGAGTACCGCGGCGTTCTCCGCTTCACGCGCTTCCCAAAATCCGGATCCCACTAAATCCACTAACCAACAGGGCAACTTGTCAGATGGAAGATCTCCTGCGATCCGTCGCTCGGAAATCTCCAAGTTCATAAAGTTCACTCGACAGATATAAAGAATGGATCAAGGCGACTGAAGAAAGTTGACACCCTCACTTAGAAGTCATTGATCCTGAGCAAAAACGCCTTTACAGTACCAGAAAGCAGGTCGGAAAGACTGCCAACTCCGTCCTCACTCAAACCTCGATCCATTCGGGGGCTACTGATGAAGTCATGTACCTAGGGTAGGGTTACGGACCTGTCCAAAGTACCCTCCCCAAGGACATCTCTTAGAAGAAGCCGTCTTTCAGTCAACCAAGAGGGATTCCACTCGACCGGCTAGAAGACACTCGACGAACCTGAAGACACTCAACCATGAAGACTCACTCGACCACCAGGAGTTCAAGATCTACTCTGTATCCAAACGGTCTGTAATTAAGTAGTCTTAATGGTCATGATGACACTTTATGTAGGGCGTTACCAGTAACGCCAGGCCTTAATGTACTTTAACCCTCTGCTACGTGGGCTGGCTGGGGTCCTGGCGTCCTCTATATAAGCCGCCCCCCTCCACTGGTAGAAGGGTTCGCACCCCTGTAACCCATATACACATAAACCAGTCGACCGCCTCCGGGCTCCGAGACGTAGGGCTATTACTTCCTCCGAGAAGGGCATGAACTCGTAAAACACTCGTGTGTACAACTACTCCATAGCTAGGATCTTGCCTCTCCATACCTACCCCCCATTCTACTGTCAGACTTAGAACCACGACAGTGGCTGCACTGGTCGTTCACGACCATATTCAACGGCAGCTTCCTCGGTACAGGGGGTCACTCCCTGGCCGTGCTCCCAACCTGAACCGCAACAGGAAGAGAGGCCACGCCCTGCTTTATGCCGATTACTTTGCCAACACCCCGCTCTTCAAGCAGGATAAATTTCGTCGCCGTTTTCGTATGGCAAGGCATGTGTTCAATCGTATCCGAGAGGGAGTGGTTTCTCATGACCCATACTTCGAGTGCAAGACGGATGCCCTTGGCAAGCTCGGATTCTCCTCTTACCAGAAATGCACCGCGGCCATCCGCATGCTTGCATATGGTATTCCAGGCGATCTGGTGGACGAGTGTGTGCGTATGAGTGAGACAACATGTCTGATGTCAATGTACAAGTTTTACCAGGCCGTGATCGAGGTGTTTGGCCCAGAGTACTTGAGGCAGCCAACTGCCGCTGATACAGAGAGATTTTTGGCGACTAACGCAGCTAGAGGCTTTCCAGGCATGCTTGGCAGCATAGATTGTATGCATTGGGAGTGGAAGAACTGTCCATTTGCTTGGCAGGGCCAGTACAAGGGGCATGTTAACGGGTGCACTGTCATATTAGAAGCGGTGGCATCGCAAGATCTTTGGATATGGCATTCTTTTTTCGGCATGGCAGGTTCTCACAATGATATCAACGTGCTGCAGCGCTCTCCAGTCTTTGCAAGGCTTGCAGAAGGCCACTCCCCACCTGTCAACTTTGAGATCAACGGCCACCAGTACAACAAGGGATACTATCTAGCAGATGGTATATATCCTCAATGGTAAACTTTTGTGAAGACAATCTCGAAACCCCAAGGTGAGAAGAGAAAGAGATTTTCCCAAATGCAAGAGAGTGTTAGAAAGGATGTGGAACGTGCTTTTGGTGTGCTTCAATCCCGGTGGGGTATCATTCGAAACCCTGCACTGTCATGGGATGAAGGGAAGCTTTGGGAGGTGATGACTGCTTGTGTGATTATGCACAACATGATCGTCGAGGACGAGCGTGATGAGAGTATCTTCGACCAAGGATTTGATTATCAAGGTGAAAATATTGAGCCCCTGCACCAAGACCCGGCCACATTTGAACAGTTTGTCCAATTCCACCGTGAGATGCGTGATTGGCACACTCATTTGAATCTTCAAAATGACTTGGTTGAGCATGTCTGGGATCACATTGGCAACCAATAGATGTATTGGTCCAATTTATGTTCAGTCAAGACAATTTCGATTTGGTTGTAAAACTATTTTAATTTTCAGACAAATATTTGGGTTGGAAACTAGTTTTGATGCAAATTTGGGCATTTTTGGCCCTGACAAACAGGATGGGGCAAATGGATGCGGCCGCGCGCTGGGCGCACGGCCACCGCATCCCAGGACAGGCCCAGACAAGACCTCAAATCCCTACCCAAACGGACAGAAACCGGACAAAACGGACGTCCGTTTGGGGTCGCGCGGTGGAGTTAGCCTTAATCTCGTGTCCCAACTAAAACTGTGAGGAAGATGCGTTTGTTTGTACAACAGATTATCACTACAGCGTTTCACTGGCAGTTTGTTTGTACAGTATAACAGATTATCACTACAGCGTTTCAGTGGCAATCTCTGACCTTCATCACATGGACGGACGCACTTCTTCTCAGGACCTACCAAAGTTGCAGCAGAAATCAAAGAACAGTACTTGCATGGACACTTGGAGTTGGGTTACTTCTCCTGGACAAATCACAAACCCAGCAAATCATGCTTCTGACTTCCCACGACCGACATCGTGGAGCAAGATGCTGTTCTTCGTTTTTGGTTGGTTTCATTCATTTCACCCCAGCACCAAAAAGGAATTGCTGCAAATGGAAGAACAATCCAAATGCATGCCACCCATTTCGAGCTGCCCAACTCCAAGACCCTCACTCTGGCACCAATGATTGATTCATTCATTCATTTTTCTCAACGAATTTGTTCACAAAGAATTTGGCCCAATGATTGATTTTTCTCAACGAATTTGTTCACAAAGAATTTGGCCCAATGGCTGGGAGAGCAAAATTAACAGAGGAAAATTGTAGCGAGCAGCGGAGCATCAAAGGGGGGGATAGATTAACAACGAATCTCTTGCGCATATTGATTGAATTGACAGTAATGTAGTAACATGGAGCTAGCTATCATCTAGCCGCGCTGCTGTTGATCGGAGGAGGAGGACGACGGCGCGGCGTCCCAGGGCGTCATGTCCATGGGGTAGCTGCCGAGCACCCTGAGGAAGGACGTGAACTCCTGGATCTCGGCGAGCGCGTTCTGGGCGCGCACGTCGGCCATGGACGCCTGGAAGTCGATGTAGAACATGTACTCGAAGTGCTTGGCGGTGCCGATGTTGGCGTCGTCCACCAGCCGGATGGGCCGGTGCCGGTGCGGCCGGCTCTCGATCTTGGTCAGGCTGATGTCCCGGAACGCGAACGCCGACAGCACCTTGAACAGCACGGAGGTGCCCTCCCGGTCGTGCGCCAGCACGATGCTCGTCTTGAACGGCCGGTCCGTCCGCGGGATGATGGGCTCCCGCGCCAGCATCACGAACCGGGTCACGTTCCCGGCGTCGTCCTGCACGCCGTCCGCCAGGACCTGGAGGCCGTACAGCTCCGCGGCGCGCGCCGACGCGATGGCGGCCGTGTCGCGGAGCGCGTGCGCCGCGATGTGCTCCGCGGCGCCCGCTGTGTCGTCGAAGGCCTCGCGGGCCACGTTGAGGCCCATGCGCGTCAGCGTGTGCTCGCACTGCGCCAGCGCCTGCGGGTGCGAGATCACCCGGGCCAGCAGCTCCCGCCGGACCCCCGGGAGGGCGAGCAGGCAGTGGTGGACGGGGAGCTGCACCTCGCCCACGATGTGGAGCCGGTGCCGGAGGAGCAGGTCGTAGTTGCGGTGGATGCTGCCGCCCAGGGAGTTCTCCACGGGGAGCACGGCGCGGTCGGCGATCCACAGCTCCACCGCCTGGAACGCCACCTCGAACTGGTCGCACGGGATGGCCTCGCACCCCGGGTACGCCTTCCCGGCCGCCGCCTCGCTGTAGGCGCCCGGCACGCCCTGGTAGGCCACCCGCAGCTGCGCGCCGTGCAGCGGCGCCGGGGACAGGTCGCTGATGCTGAGCGGGCGCGGCAGGTTCCCCGCGCCCGCGGCCAGCACCAGATCCAGGCCGGAGACGGCGTCCTCGGAGCCGGGGATGGCCGGCGCGGCTAGCTTGTTGATGTTGTTCTGGCCGTTCACCTTCGGCGCCGGCGGGGTGGGGGAGTCGTTGGTGCTGGAGAGGATGGCGCAGGCCGTCTGCCAGTCGCTGCGGCTGACCGGGATCGCGCGCGCCGCCGCGGCGCCGGATCCCCTGCTGCTCCTCCCGGCGAGGCGCATCCGCGGCGCGGCCGCGCTCCGGATGGCCGCGGCGGCCTCCATGGCCGCTACCTACCGAGCTCGCCTCCGGCTGTTGATCTGCTTTCTCTGGCCGGTGGCGGTGCAGGGTGGGTGGTTGGTGGCGCTCGTGGGTGGGGCAGGCGGTGATGCTCGCCTCCAAGCTGACCGGCTGGTGTGAGAGAGAAAAAAGACGCCGTTTTTATGGGAAAGGAGGGGTTGGTGGGGGCTCGCCGTCCGTCGGAGCCGTGCCCCGTTTCCATTTCCCCTTGGCATCTGCGCTCCGACCGTGGTGAAAAAACACATGCGTTTTTCTTCTTCATTTTGGTAAGAAAATAAATATCATAAATATCTCTCCTGGATAACCGCGCCTTAATCTATACGTATCTAGACCCACATCTGTCTAAATTCGAGGGTAAGGAAAGGATGTTGACAACATAGGAAAACCATGAATTAAAATTTCAAAATACTCCAACATAGGCCTTTTTCAACTTATATTTGTCACGTTGTCATTCTAAGCCTTTTACACTTACATTTCTCGCGTTTGCATTCTAGCCCTTTGGACAAAAGTGGAATTTGAATCTAGGGTCAATTCAATCGCAGATCCCGACATACACGCGCACAAAAAACCAGGGTCAGTTTGAGTTGAACCCAACTAATAAATTTTTTGGTTAGCACTGCTCATTGGTGGAGGGCAGCATTCTTTGTACTCCCTCCGTTCTCGGAAATGGATGTATCGAGAACTAAAATACGTCTAGATACATCCATTTTCGCGACAAGTAATTCCGGACGGATGGAGTAGCTTTGTTCCTCATTTCTAAGATCTCGTAAATTAAAGCCTCTAAATCAAATGGCATCAGGTTGTGAAATGTCGGGCCATCTCATTTGGCGGCAAATTATTTAGACAACTCTAGGTTCTCGATAAGAAATAAAAAGACTTTAAGTATATGGCATATACAGTGGGATCCTACAATTTCTATTGACAACCACATACCATATTAGTTTCTGGCACATGTTCAGATACTGACATAATAAAATAATGTGATAAATTCAGATACATCTTTTTAAATAGGCAATATGATCTTGTTCGATTTCTCTACAAGATCTCAGATAGCCAACTATCACCATTCTTAAATCAAAGGAAAGATTGTGATCCTCGCAGTTATGATATGTCCTCATAATGAATTTAAAACATGAAAACTGTAACTTGAAGCTTTGAGCTTTATCACCTGACCTTTTCTGTTTATAATGAACACCAGGCAATAAATCTTCACGTGCCTTTCTTGTTTAAGCTTGGTAGTCGATCTACGCGCAGCTGCGGCTTCATGTCTCGACAAGGTCTCTAGGATGACAAGCTCCCCGAGTATGTCGCCCTCATCCTCGTCAGCTTCCTCAACATCCTCTAGGACACGGAGTCAAACAATCTGTACACGCCCGCGAGTTCATACGTCTGGTCTACTTCCGATATCCGCATATCATATGTTCGATGATATGCCCACACAGATTGTTTGATTATGTTTCTACTATGCAGGTGCATCAGTGCTACAAGCCGACATGGTTGCCTTCTTTTCTTCTTTACTTTCCTTTCTTTTGTCTTTGCCTGATTGACATTGTGTTATTCATGTTCTACCCAATTAGTTTTGTAGGTGCTTAATCTTGGTGTGGATTGAGGCATCACAATTTGTTAGGCTAGGGTGTTCAGGTACCTGCGTTAGGCCCTCGTTTCTTTTACTTAAGTTTTTTTAGATGTTTCTCATTTAGTTTGATTGTATGCATGGATTGTTTGATGTCACTTGGGTTCAAGGTTGACGCATGACATAATTTAGTGAAGGAAATATGCCCTAGAGGCAATAATAAAGTTGTTATTTTATATTTCTTTATTCGTGATAAATGTTTATTATTCATGCTAGAATTGTATTAGTTGGAAACTTGATACATGTGTGGATACATAGACAAAACACCGTGTCCCTAGTAAGCCTCTACTAGACTAGCTCGTTAATCAAAGATGGTTAAGTTTCCTAACAATAGACATGTGTTGTCATTTGATGAATGGGATCACATCATTACAGAATGATGTGATGGACAAGACCCATTCGTTAGCTTAGTATAATGATCATTCAGTTTTATTGCTATTGCTTTCTTCGTGTCAAATACATATTCCTCCGACTATGAGATTATGCAACTCCCAGATACCGGAGGAATGCCTTGTGTACTATCAAATGTCACAACGTAACTGGGTGATTATAAAGATGCTCTACAGGTATCTCCGAAGGTGTTTTTTGGGTTGGCATAGATCGAGATTAGGATTTGTCACTCCGAGTATCGAAGAGGTATCTCTGGGCCCACTCGGTAATGCACATCATAAGAAGCCTTGCAAGCAAAGTGACTAATGAGTTAGTTGCGGGATGATGCTGTCGGATTTAGGGTTCCGGCAGACCCTTGAGGTTCGAACACTGGGGTGCGCGCGGAGGTTTCGCCTTCTACCTACCTGTTCCTCGCCGAATCGCTAGGATCTAAACTACGAGAAGAACAACACAAGAGACACAGGGTTTATACTGGTTCAGGCCACCATTGTGGTGTAATACCCTACTCCAGTGTGTGGCGTGGTGGATTGCCTCTTGGGCTGATGATGAACAATACAAGGAAGAACAACCTCGCGAGGGTCTGTTCTTGTGGTGGTGTTGTCCCTTTTGAAGGGTTGATTCTAGATGCCTATCTTATCTCCAGATTCCTCTCCGGATCCCCTTACCCTATGGGTGGCTAGTCCTATTTATATGCGAAGGCCCTGGGCCTCTTCCCAAATATTGAGCGGGAAGGGGGCCAACAATTGGCCAATTTGAAGGGGAACATCTAGTACACTTATCCTGACTAAAGTTGGTCCTCGCCTGTCAAAGGCTCTGGTGGTGACGCCGACTTGGGCTCCACGGTGACCTCCATCCTGCCGTTGGACTGGTCTTGGTCTTGTTGCACCGAAATGGATGCCTTTGCTTGATGCTCTCGCCTGCGCTTGCTCCCCTTGCACCAAAGAGGAAAGAAGGACACTGCGCGGGCTGGCGCCCGACTGGCGCCCTTGGTCGTCATGGCTTGCGTCATGGGCACCTCGCGAGGTACCCCGCCTTGAACTCTCCGCCTCCTCGTGAGCCAGCCTGACGAGGCCGTGCCTGAGGAAGCTCCTTGTCGTCCGCCCCGCGAGGCTTGGCCCCTCGCGAGGGTCTTGAGCTTGTGTTGATGAAGATGGGCCGTGCTGGGCCCCCTTTGAGCCACGCCGCAGGCCGCAGGCAGGCAAGTCTGGGGACCCCCGTTCCCAGAACGCCGACAGTAGCCCCCGGGCCCAAGGCGCGCCCGGACTTGGCCGAGCAGAGAGGCGAAAGGGCAAGTGCAAAGCGTCGCGAGCCCTAACAGCCTGGGGCCTTGGGCGCTGCGTGGCGGTTGATTGGACGCGGGTGGCACTGTTCCCCCACGCCTCCTCATTTGGTGCCAGGCTAGGCGGACTTGCAGTTGTACACAGCCACTCCCCTTTCCGTTGCTCGTGTGCCCTCTGTCCTTCCTCCTTTCGAACTCCAGCTTCTGCTTCGAAGCCAATCTCGAACCTTTCCTCCCCCCTTCCATCGCCATGGCTCCGACGAAGAAGGGGAGAGGGAAGGGACCCATGCCTTCGCCTTGCTCGCCGCCGTCGGTGGCCCCCGCCGTGGACCGGTCGACCATAGTCAATCGAGAGGGCTTGGGCAAGGTTAGTTCGGCCCTGGCCACCATCTTCAATGAATGCAGGAGGACGACGGCCTGGCCCGCGTCTCGGTTCTCCATCAATAGGATAATCACCGAGGTCCCTTATTTCGTCGATGCCCTGTGGGCGGGGCTAATTCCCCCCTTTTCGGATTTCTTCAACGCCGTGCTCTCCCATTATCAGATCCACATGATGCATCTGGGTCCTGACTCCATTACTCTTCTGGCGGTCTTCGCCTTTGTTTGCGAGGCTATGGTTGGCATCATCCCTTCGGTCGCCCTGTTGCGCCACTTTTTCGCTCTGCACCTCGTCAACCCCGCCCAATGCTCGGGATGCGCGAGCTTCATCGCTGCACCCGAGACGGCGGCCTCAGGGATTGACTTTGGTCTTCCTCCGCCCGCGCCTGGGTTTCGCGAGCAGTGGCTGTATGTGGAAGTGGGGGTGCCTAGCCCCCTGCTGTCGAAGCCGACTTCGCCTGCTGTCCCCAATTCGGGCTGGGGCCAGGAGACGCTCACAAGCCCCCAGCTCTTCTTCGTCTGGCGTCGCTTCGAGTGCTTGAGATGGCTTGACGTGACGGCTCCCAAGGTGGTGAAGGAGTTCCTGCTACGCCGGGTCGCCCCTCTCCGGCGCCACTCTTGCCGAATGTGGGCCTTCAACGGGCACGGGGATCGTATGAGGCTCCAGGAAGAGGACCTGACGCCTGAAGCATTGAGGAAGGTACTCTTGGTTCTGACTGGGGACCCCAACCCTGGCAGCATCCAGCAAGGGGGGGCCTTGCTGTACCTCTATTCGGGCAGGAGAGACTTCGTGAATCAGATGCCCGTTTTCGACGAATGGGGACCGGGCCCCGTCGGCCTCCAGGGGCCTCGTGAGAATCCAGTGACAGTGGCTGCCCTTTCAATTGGTCGAGGCGGTTCTTCCTCAAGTGGCGGAGCAGGGAGGCATGAGCCTCCGGAGGCCGAGGGTGCCCCCGCCGGGGCGACAACGTCGGGCAGCGCTCAAGAGGGAGCGTCCCCTGAGGCCCGTGCTGCCGAGGCTGAGGGCGGCGAGCAGCCGCCTGCTGCACCCAGGGCCGAGGCCTCCGAGGCCCCGGCCGCTTTTCTTGGCGAGGCGACCAGCGGCACGCATCAGGCAGACACCCCTGACGCGGGTCGTCTTGACGTTCCTTCCTCGTCGCAGGCTGACCCCTGCGCTCAACTCTTGGGCCGCTTCTGCGTGGACTTTGAGGCCCTCCGGAAGAGAAGGGAGGCCCTGGGCGACGATTACCCTTGTCGCCTGCTGAAGCGAAGAAAGTACTTCGCCATCGATGAGTAAGCCTTCT